AAATTTCGAGAAATAGTCCAAGTTTCTTCTCGATCAATTTTTCGGGCATAAAGTGCAAAACATGAAGCTCATTTCAACGATCTTAAGATCAAACATTTATTTGTGCTAATTTTTTTTTTGAAGTGCGAACACGTTTGCACATCAATTGAAAATATTTCAACACCTGATCAGATTCGCCTGAGGTTTCAGTTTCATTCTCATTTCCCAATTGCGAAATTTTCGGCGTGTACGGAGTTATAACACGATCTAATGACTTCCGCATACGTTCTACTATTATTTTCCCCGTGTGTTCAACAAAAAGAAATGAGTGAAAAGAACGATTGAGCGAGGGTAAAGGGCAACAATGCCGCAAGCGTTTGAACCTCTCCTTTTGTCTGAAGAACTCGAGATTCTGGCGCCCTTTCAAACCTCCTCGTGTTACACTCTTTCCCTCCCACCCATTCTTCTCCACTTTAAATTTGTCTTTTTGTTTTACGAATAACAAGACTAACTCACCCGATGGATCACGTTTCAGCGTTGTGTGTCCTAGTGTCCGGTGCTGTTTAATCAAATTTTTAGTTACGTTTATTCGCATGGAGCGGTTGGTCAGCACTGATAGACTTGGTCATTATTGATGTTATTGTGTACCTTCGGTTGGACTAGTAGACGTGAATATCTCCCTTTATTTTATTTCTCGGGATTGGTGAAGACAATTTGAGAAACTGTTTTGATTTTGAAAGGTCAGATTTATAATCCCAGTCAATGGATTTTCTTTGTTCCTTTGGTATTTTGTTCTGTAGAAGTGTAAGTAGTCAATAGAAGGTTTTTCGTCAATACCAAATATCAACTAAATTTGAATTAGTTGGAAAAAATGAAGATCATTCGGTATTTATTGAAAACCATGAAAATTGAAGGGAAATTGTCAGTGAAGTTGTCAATTCAGGATGAAAAAATAGTGCGTCATGTAGGTGTCATTTTCCTCTCTCCAAGAATAGAATGACAAAGTGTCCGCTAAAGTTCATTGTTCCCTGGCCGATGTACCAATTTCTTTTCTTCTTCATCTTTTCATTCATCCACCCTCTCTAACATTTTAGTGAGGTCCAAGACACGATCTCATTTTATCTACCCACCGGCGCCCTTACACGATCCACGTTTGTTGCCTCATCGTTCCCCTCCCCTCGTTCAATCCTAACATCCCTCAACGCAATGTTCCCCGAAGTCGCATCAGCCACGAACATCGTCTTCATTTTGTCTCTCTTTTTTTTTGCGTTCCCTTTTTTTTCCTCGGGTAGACTTTGGTGGTTGCTCTGGAGAAGAGGGTGGTTAGCCTCGAGGCGACCAGTGCGAGATAGGGCACGTTGAATTGTAGTGGTTAAAAGGGGAACCGCCTGCGCACGTGGGATTATAAGTGGATCCCTGTCTTTGGGGTAAAGCCAAGGTTCTTCAGCATCTCTATCTCGACGTTCTCCCTTTTTTTTTCTTTTCGTCTAACGTGAGAATCAGCATTGCCCAATCGTACGGATCTTTACGGCTTATTCAGAGCGAAAAAATTGTCACAAATTAAAAGCGCTGGAGACACTTTTTCTATCCCTCACTTTATGCACCAAAAATTGACCATGACAGTGACATTTTCATAATTTTGAATATTTTCCCCAGTAGATATGGACATATGGTGAAGTTTCAATTTGTTGCACAATTTATGATGATTTTTCAGAGTCGGGAAACCACTAATGGCCTCATTTCCCTTCAAAAAATATTATTCATGCGTGAAATTCACCCGGGGATCAGTCACACAGAGGATGACTGATCGTCGTAGACATTCGGAAGGCTGTCTACACGATGCCTATACACAGAAGCATTATTTATTCGCTCAGCAAGTGGGGGTAAATGTGAGAACGTGTCCTTGCCCCGACAATATATCTTTCTTCCCTTTGTCGTTCAGTATCTGCGAAAATTCACATTTCCCCACTCTACTCACACTCGCCCTGTGATACCATATCCTCACGGAAAATGTCGAATATGGTACAGGCCTGTTATACGAGGTATTAGGTAATTCCACCGCCCTTTTCTTATGTCATTTGTCACTTCTGATGTACATGTGCGGGTGCGTACTGCGGCAATTGGTCAGCCCCTCGCAGTGTGAATTTGATAAATCGTGGGATCGAATTTTTCTTCGTATTCTATTCTATTTGTTTTTCATGCGCGGATGCTATTAATTGATCTATCCCATTATTTTTATTTCCGTTAAATAATTTTCATCTCCATGAAATTATTCACAGTCATTTGCAGAAATTTCAGAAAATCGTAATCTTCATTTAACAAAAAAAAAAAAAAAAAA